TAGCATTCAAATGAGAGGTCTGAGCTATAGATAAAAATTTGAAGTTGTCCACAAATAGTTGGCATTTAAATTAGAGAACTGAGAGAGATTGTGTAAAGAGTGAATGATAAAGAAAAGATCTGGAGGTTTAACACTTTGGCACTCTCAAGTTTAGAGGTCTGGAATATGAGTAGGAACCAGCTAGGATATGATGGGGGGTGGGGGTGGGGTTGATCAGATAAAAAGAAAGACAAAATGAGCCAAGTAAAGAAAATATTTCAAGAAAGAGGGAATGATGAATGGACACCAATGCTGTTGGTAATAGAGGATGATGAGAACTGAGAAATAATCATTAGCTTGGCAACATGGAAGTCACTGTTGACCTTTGAATGGTAGAGCACACAAGCTTAATTGAATTCCATCAGCAAGTATTGAAAGAATTGCAGATAGCACATGTAGCTCACCATTTTGAAGATTTTTGCTATGAAGGAGAATGGAGGGATGGCATAGCATCTGAAGGGGCTTGTGTGTTCAAGGTTGGGTTTTGTTTATAAAGATGAAAATGATCTAGTTAGAGAGAGAAATATCAACGAGCAGAGAAGACAAGCATCTTCAGGAAGGATGGTCTTGAGTGAAAGAGGAGATCCATTTTACACATGGAGGGGTTGTCCTTATATGGGAGCAGAGACAATTTACCCCATGTGACAGATGGAAGACAGAAGGTAAGCACAGAAAAAGGAAAGTTTGTGGGACCATCTGGAAGTTTCTTAAATTGTCTCTATTTTCTTAGTAAAATGAAGAATAAGGTCATTAAAGAAGTGAGAGTTAAGGATAAAGTGCTATAAGTTTGAGGAGAAAAAAAAAGGCGCAAAATAGTTGCATCTGAGATAACATGGATGTCTTGGAAAGAAAGGAAAGTGACTCATCAAAGGCAGTGGAGTTCCCTGGCAATAGTTAAGAGTCCATTTGAGATTAATAGTCAGGAATTGAAGCAAGATTTGTCAGCATAGGTGTGTGTTTTCATTTAGCTGCCTCCAATAGTTCAGAGACCAGAATAAGTAAGTAGAAATTTGGATTGACTAAGAACGAGTTGATGGTAGGAGAGTGGAACAAGGGATTTAGGATGTATGCATGGTAGTGATTGTCAAGTTGAACTATTGAGTATTAATTGAAGAAAGAGGTAAATTAGGACATGAAGAGGAGAGGGACAGATGCTAACTTCAATAGATAGGTGTTTCTCTTGCTGCTGAAAATGATTAGATTAAGATGGAGGGATGTGATGTAGGTTACATAGTGAGATGTATGAAGTTGACATTATGAAGGGAGCACAGTTAATGATAGTGATCACTTGTAAAGAATGGCTGTAAGAGCAGGCAGCTGGAGTGAGGTGAAGGGCAAGGTCATGGGAGAAGAGGACATCCAGAGCCCAAGAGGTGAGAATGTGGCAACGATCTTCTCAATGACACTGAAATCACCAAAAATTATGAGAAGAATACAGTTGTTGAGAGTGACAGATTGAGCATGAGAATCTTCAAGGAATGAAGAGAAGTGAGTAGGAAGTCTGTAGATGATTGACACATGAAGTAGTGGATGACCAATGAATGAGTTTCAAGGGAAGCAACAATGTTATGGAGAAGGGGAAAGCGACCATCTGGAATTGGCATTGAATACTCACAGCTGCTGGAAGAACAGGTTTCATCTAGAATAAAGAGTTAGGACAAATGTAGAGAAGACTTTGAGGATCTAAAAATTTTGCTTTTGGCAATGAGTTTGAGTGTATGGTGAAAGGGTTTGTGTGGTGGGGAAGAATATGAAATTGGATCATATAAAGGGATGAACAGAGCTGTCTGGGGATGTGACTTAAAATGAGGGGTGGTGTTGGGGCTTCCTTTGGGGACTGAGATGCAAGGATGTATGCAATTTGCTATTGAAGAGAAATTTCATATGCTAAAGCTATTTCAATAGATAATTTACCACCAGGACCAGTAGGTGGTACTGTTGGCCCAAGATAGTTTGGTTGCTGTTCAGCAGTTTAGAGATGGTATGAGGGCAGGGAGACACTAGGTAAAATGTAAAGGATGCTGGTAGATTTAGATCTCTATTTCCAGATTAATGTTTCTTAGTAAGGGTAATTCTTAGAATGTACTTGGACTTTTTTTTTTTATAAATGGCATTTTATTATTATTATGGTTTTGTTAATCCTCACCTGAGAACATATTTTTTTATTGATTTTTAGAGAGCAGAAGGGATGGAGGGAGAGAGAAACATTGATGTGAGAGAAACACATTCCTTTGTTGCTTCCAACATGCGCCCCGACCAGGAGAGGGATCAAACTTGTAACCCAGGTATGTGCCCTTGATCCAGAATCAAACCTGCAACCCTTCCCTATGTAACCACTGAGACACACCAGCCTGGCAGGATGGGACTTTTTAAGACACTTGAACATGGAGACAAGTATGGAAATATATAAAGTGCAGATGGTGCTTTGGCTTTTTATTTTCTGGATGAAAAAAAAAATCAGAAACAGAGAAAGAAATGAAAACTGCAAGAATTTGCAGACTATCAAGACAATTCAGTATGCCTACCCTCTGGGGTTTCTCCTACTTTACCTTGGGGACAATCTTGTACCGAAATCCTGGTAGGCAAATATATGACAAAGTCACTGGTTCAATTCTGATGTTTAACTGAAAACACGTGTTCTGTAAAAGGCAAAATTAGTTTTTGCTATAAAAACAAACAAACAAAAAAACCCACCTCCTCCCTCTCTCTTCTCCTGCCTATTTTGGGGATTCAGAACACAGAGCTTAGAATGCCAGAGGCAGTGACTTCCTTTCCAGGAGGAAGCAAGGCTGAGAGAGGCAGATGCTGATCAGAGTCTGTGAGCTTTGCATATTCATATTTCTCAGTTGTTCAGCATTAGAGAATTCCAGTAATGAGCATGTGACAGCTCTAGCAGCCTCTCTGTAGCTTGGGGGTTTGCTATTCTTGTGTTCTTTGTGAAGAACTGACTCATCAAATCAGGAGGCTCCCCCTCCCCCCAAAAATTGAATGAGCACTTGTACACTGAAGTTTTCAACATCACCCACAAGATTTTTAAGGGCTTGTCAAAAGAATCTTCATAGTCTCTAACCATGAATAAAAATGATTTCACATGTCATCTCTAAGCACATTTTATTTCATGGGATTAATTTAATTGATTGAGCCAAATAGTTAAGGGTTGGTAAGTGGTTGCTAGTAATAAGGAGAAATTTTTAAATTTTTAGGAAAATAATCATGTATGTTCTTGACATGGTTTTATTAAATGATTAAAATACTCTTTAATGTTAGTTACACCTTGATGAAACAATCTTCTAGGGCAAAAAAAAAAAAAAAAAAAAAAAGGAAGAAAGAAAGAAAGAAAAAGAAAACCCCCAAACTCCTTTATAAGGAAATCAGCCCTAAATATCTTTTCACAATCACATGAACTTAATCTGCTTGGTATTTATTTGCAATTTAAAAAATGCCATGTAATTATCTCTGCCCACATCTCCTATTTCAGCAAATATAGTCAAATGTTCATAATACCAGCCTGGGGGGAAATATCTTCTAAGTTGCTCAGGGATGCGTCATCTATAAAGACAATTGAGGACTAGGTTATTATTTAAAATTTTGTATAAGATTCAAAGTCCATAGTTTAGGAGCTAACCTGAGGACATTTTTTAGAGAGAATGGCTATTACTTCTCTTAGTTAAGAATTGTACAAAGGCCCGGTTGGTATGGGCTCAGTGGCTGAGTGTTAACCTGTGAACCAATCAAATCACTATTTGATTCCTGGTCAGTGCATATACCCAGGTTGTGGACTCGGATTCTTAGTGAGGGGTGTGCAGGAGGCAGCCAATCAATGATTTTCTCTCATCATTGACATTTTTCTCTCTCCCTCTTCATTCCTCTCTGAAATCAATAAAAATATATTTTAAAAACAGTTACAACAAAGGGCCTTTTTCCCCTAGCTGTTAGATAGAGAGTGAAGAACTGACCTACTTCTTCCTTAAGGATGAATCATTCTAAAACAATGGAGGGCATTCTAGAATAATGGAAATCTTCAGCATTTTGTTATAAGAAAACTTTTTTTCTCTCTGATACTTGAGCAATCTATTGCTTCCCAAGGCTGCTCTTTGGTGACAGTGGCTCCTAGCACCCATCAAGGGCACCCCTAACTCTCAGGTGCTGTTTCTATATCAACAGTTCTAGTCTGCAAGCAACTCACAGTGGACAAAATCATCGACAGTATTTGTTAAAAATTTCTGGACTGCCCTAACTGGTTTGGCTCAGTGGATAGAGCATCGGCCTGCGGACTGAAGGTCCCGGGTTCGATTCTGGTCAGAGGCACATGCCCAGGTTGCGGGCTCATATACCAATCAGTGATTCTCATCATTGACATTTCTATCTTTCTCTCCATTTCTGAAATCAATTATATATATATATATATATATATATATATATATATATATACACACATATATATATATATATATATATATATTTTTTTTTTTCTTTTTTTTTTTCTGGACCTCATGCCACACCTAATGCATCAGACCACTGGGATGGGCTGAAATTCTGCTTACATCTCCTACTGGCAACCGGTGTGCAGCTGTGCCCCTGAAAGAACTTCAAACCGAACTACTTTAAATGTCCGTAGAATTTCTCTGAGGAAGGAAAATAACATAAAATAGATTATGTCATAATCTTGGGTATTCATCTGACTAATCATGAGTCAGCTCAGAAGACTCTTTTTGATGACCAATCCAACTTCTGATATTTTCTCAAAATTCATACTCATCTCTCTTCCCCCCTCTCACTCTCAGCACTCAGCCTGTGTCCTACTTCATTGAGAAATGGGAGGGGTTATCAGGAGGCTTCTGTGATACCTGTATTTCTGGATCCCCTGAAATTCACTCCTTTTCAATAATTGTGTGAGTGTCTAACTCCTTGGAATAATCAGGGGTTATTATGACTGACACAGTCTGCTTCTAACCTTTTATTGCAAACAATGATAAAAGGCCCACACAAAAACAGTTTATACCAGTCTGGATTTAATGTCCAAAGCTCTCTCATTTGGAATCACATATCTGACTGTTACTTGACATTCTAATTGGATACATGTATAATAGGCATTTTGATCTAAACATATTCAAAAGTGGGTTTCTGATATTCCTCCCAAAGTCACCCTAGCAGCCTTCACCACCTTGTTCACCTTCTACTCTTTTCCTTGTTCTCTCTGCAACAGCCACACTGGCCTCCTTACTGGTCCTAGAACATGATCTTTACATATATGCTTTCTCTCTTTGCTAGATCTCTCACATTGTCCAAATCTTACCTTGTGAGGTAGAAACCTCGCTGCTTTTCACAGCCAGATGTTATGTGGGCACCCCTTCCTGGCCCTGGTGCTCCTCAGAAGAAACTTTTGCAGCTGAAGTATCATTCCAAAATCTCAGCTGGGCCAACTCTTTTCACATCTCTGCCCTTCCTACCAATCTCGAGGTGGCTTCTTCTATAAATCCTTTTCTTCAGCTAGTCATCAGTTGGTTATTCAGGTTGCTTGCTTTATATTTTAGCTGTAATTTCAGTTTGGTCCTGGGAGGAGGTGAGCATAGCTTCCACCAGCTCTGCTGCCATCTTGGATTCTCTGCCTGGTGGTTTTCTATCCATTGCTCCTGCAAAGAAAATGTTAGTGATAAATTGAGGAACTTAGGGCTATGAATACCTCTTTTCCCCCCAGGGAAAATAACATTTAGGAGAGGTGGGGGAGGGAAGAAAGCACTTGAGGGTAAGGAAAATGGGTAGTACTTCTCTCCTTTCCATTTCAGAAACTGCTTCAATCTGTCTTTTCCCTCATGAGTCAGACAAATAAAGTGATACAAAATCCAGTCTATTCTTATGCCTTGAGGCATGACTGTAGCAAAACCATTAGGGGATGCAAATTGATTCTTCTCTGACTAAAATTCAGTGTATAACATACTGTTTGGGCCACATGCAGAAGCCACCTGTTCATAAATGGCTTTTCTTTGAACATCCATGGGCCAGGAGAAAAGTTTCTGACTCACAGGATTACTAAAAATAAAGAACCACTTTCAGATTTTCCTTCAAAGTTTGAGTCCCTGAGTTTAAAAAAAATGAAACATTTCATTAACCTGATAGTTTATGAAAAGCAGTGCTACCGGTAATGGTGGGAAGTGGCGTGCTGGTGTCTCACCTCATTGTTCAGGACCTGGAATGGCTCACAGGCAGGTTTGGCCTGGTCCATACAAATGGTAAATCGGATGGAAGCTTTTACAATATATAAAGTAAGTAAATGGACTGATCACAAAATCCAAGGGCAGTAATATTGTCATTCCTTGAAAAATGTAAACATTAAAGTACCATTTCTCAGCAATTCCACTTCTGAGCATATACTCAAAAGAATTGAAAGCAGAATCTCAGATATAATTGTGACATTTGTACAATCAAGTTTATAGCAGCATTATGCACAGTAGCCCAAGGTGGAAGCAACTCAAGTGCCCACTGAGAGGTGGATAAAAAATATTATTTATATATATGTAATTTCATATATATGTAACTTCTTATGTGTATATGTGATTATTATTCATACTTAGAAGAAAGAAATTTTGACACATGCAACAGCAAGGATGAACCTTGAAGACATTATTCTAGGTAATGTAATCAGGGAGACAAAGGACAAATACTGCATGATTCCACTTATATGCAGTGCCTAAAACAGTCAAGCTCATAGAGACAGGAAGTAGAATGGTTGTTGCCAAAGTCTGCAGAGGCTATGGTTTAATGAGCACAGAGTTTCAGTTGGGATGATAAAAAAAGTTCTGAAGATCAATGGTGGTGACGGTTGAACAACACTGTGCATATACTTAATGCCACTGAATTATACACTGAAAAATGGATAAGAGGATAAATTTTACATTATATGTATTTTACTACAACTTTTTCTCCCCAAAAGCTAATGGCTCTATAGATTTGCCTATTCTGGGCATCTTATATAAATGGAATCACATAATATGTGATCTTTTGTGACTTGGCTTCCTTCATTTCCCATAATGTTTTCAAGTTTCATTCATTTTATAGCATGTGTCAGTACTTCATTCCTTTTTATAGCTGAATGTTATTCCATTGTATGAACAGAACATATTTTTCCAGAGGCTGGAGTGAGGAGAAAAGATAGTGACTGCGAATGGGATTCAGGATTTCTTTTCGGAGTGATGAAAATGTTCTAAAATCTGGTTGTTAGGATAGTTGCACAATCTATGAATATACTAAAAACTACTGAATTGTATGTTTTAAATTTCATGGTATGTGAATTGTATCTCAATAAAGCTGGTAGAAAACAACCCCAATGTCATCTTAGATGTATTAACAAACATACAGATTCTATATCACAGATTTATTAAGAGGCCTCGGCTCAGGCTGTGCCTCTGACACTTATTGGTATGATTTTGCTCAAGTGGTAACTTCTATGAATCTCACCTTAATGAGCTGTAAAATTGAAATAATAAATTAATACCTACTTTGCTGAGACAAAATGGGGACCAAATGACAATAGATATGTAGTAACATTAATTGGAATGCAGAGTATAAGGTATATGTGTCTGCGCAGAAGGTTGCTGTCGGGGAGAAGAGAACTGGATTTATTCTGAATTGTTTTAAAAGGAAGAACTGAAATTATGAATATAATTTATAAGGAAGGTAGAGGTTACAATGATAACAGAAAGATCTTTCCAAGGAAGATGCTGACTGCATACCCCTCACTGTTGATATCCAGGCACCAACAGTGAGTGAGCTTTACAAACTATTAAAGTCTGGATCTGACTCTTATAGAGTCTTAGAGGTCTAGGGCAGTGGTCGGCAAACTTATTAGTCAACAGAGACAAATATCAACAGTACAACGATTGAAATTTCTTTTAGAGCCAAATTTTTTAAACTTAAACTTCCCCTAATGCCACTTCTTCAAAATAGACTCACCTATGCTGTGGTATTTTGTGGAAGAGCCACCCTCAAGGGGCCAAAGAGCCACATGTGGCTCACAAGCCTCAGTTTGCTGACTACAGGTCTAGGATATAGGTTGGATGTTGGGATTTTTAAAGCTCCCTGGTAATTCTTTTTTATTTACTTATTTATTTTGTTGTTAGTCCTTACCCAAGGATATTGATTTTTAGGAGAGAACACTGTTGTGGAGAGGAGAATGATTGTGTAACCACCAGCATAACGTGGCTGTGGTGTGTGGAGGTGGTGGGAAGAGGTTCAGTTCTCCTAGCTTCTTCTCTCGAACATTTTGTGCTTTGCCATGTCACCAGCTGCCTCTAAGTAGGTAAGCAACAGCTCCAGGTGAATCTGGAACAGATGTCAAGCTGGAATTTCATTCCAACAATTTCTAGCTCCACAAAGTCTTTTCTTTCTGTTGAAAAGAAATTTTCTTTACATTGATACAATTGAAGTCTAGCAGGCCTGAGTTGTGCACACACACACCCAGCACCATCTCTTTCCCCTCCCCCTGCCACCTCCCTCTCCTGTCAATCACCCTGAGGGCATAAATGCCCAAGCCAAGCCAGCCCTGGAGGGGAACAGAAGGCTTTCTCTACTAGGGGTGTCTAAAGAAAATATAATGTTGCTGTTTTGTATATATTGGCTTTGACAAATATTTTCTCTCTTTTTTTAAATCCAGTCCTCAGTGCTCTAAAATATTTCACTAAAGGGTTCTCTATCGATTCTCCTTCTCTTTTGGAGTTTTGCATTTGATTTTTTATGTTGCATCAGCTTTGAAGGGATGGTTTGAACTTTCTTTCTGGTCATCTCTTTCTAATCATTCCTTACAGACCCAGGAAGCAGACCTCATCTTTAAGATACAGTCGTTTTCTTTGCCCCATCTTGAAGCTGATCTCTGAAGACAGGGGTAGCATGCCAATGGTCAGTGAAAGAATAAGTAACTTGGCTCTTCTTCAAATTTTTAGGGAAAGTGTAGATGGGCTTCCTGTTGGCCCCACTCAAGACAAAGAGTGTGTCTTCAGAGGACAGACCTCTACCGTGCATCTCAAGAGCCAACTTAATAAATAACTAGGGTGGAGGTAAAATGGAGCTACCCATCCATTTCTCAGAGCCAGAGATTCCATAACTCATTAAATTCTAAATTGAAGATGGGGGATATTATTATTCTTATATTTGAACATGCTGAATTGCTAAGAAATCTGGCATTCCTAGGACAGTAGCAGTAGGTGAATAAAAGAATAAGAATGTGCAGTGAGAAGGTAAATCTTTTAAGTTTGAGGAATTAACTAATAGCAAATAAGAGGTACTTTAGAAAGAACTCAGAGGTTTTAAGTCTTTTAATATGAGAAACTTCAAGTGCGTAAAATCTCTGGCACCTCAAACTTTCTATGGCCAGATGTCACCAGAGCTATCTCTTTCTTTCTGAAAACTCCTTAAACGTTATTTTGAAAAATCCTGTCAGATATATTTGTAGAGGTAAATAATATTTTTATATGTTTGTAAGAGCCAAATGCTTGACCTATGGACTCACTGGGGGTGGATATTATCATGTCCTCACCCCCACCCCAAAAGAAAAATATCTATCTTACTTATAAAAAGAATCTTTCACTTTAGGTTCTCAGGGAAAAGTTTAAAATAGAAAAATATTATTTTCCTTAGGAGGTCTGATAAATAATTAAGACCAGCTATAAATCTTAATGAAATTTTTTTTCCTTTTCACTGAGTCTCAGTTCTTTCTCTGTAATAGAATATAGGTGTTCTTTGTTCTATCTCTAACCACCATACTTTCTGAAAAAGGCCTCTGATTTTCTTTCCTTTCTCATTCTCAATCTTGATGATTCTGGTGAAATTTATTCCATCCCTGATGCCAAAGATGGCCAATCAGAGCAGGGTTAGTGATTGTCCAGGTGGGCACATGATCCAAGTTAGGCCAATTAGAGACAACAATGTTAATTTCAGGACATTGTTGTCAGCTAACACTTTTTCAAACAAGTTACCATTATATGTAACTGGGGTTTAATCTTGCTTTGAAATCCTGGAAGCAAATGAAGGAGGCATGCCTCAGAATTATCCCACCCTGGGGAGAAAAGAAATGGGTATATATATATATATATATCCACTTCCCATCAGTCATTGGCTGAGGGCTACTGGTGGTGGTGGTGGGAGGGGCTCACTCATTCCCTTGCATTTGGGGTTCTGGTGGTCAGAGAAAGCTCTCAGGCAAAGAAATACAGTTAGCAGTTGGTCCTGTGTGTATCAAAATAGTAAGGGAAATATGGGTGGGGCACTGACCCATATCCATACACTACAATAAACAGTACAACATCTTGTTCCACTTATCATAAACAGTAAATGTCAGTTACCGGTAATATTTATTCACTCAACAAATATCTATTGTACCATATACTTAGGTATATTCACTGTGCTAGTGCTGGGAATAAAACATAGCAGAATATTCCATTTCTCAAAAGAGATGACAATATATACCATAATACGTACAATAAGGAAGCAAGAAGTTATGTGCTAATAATAAGGGAAGTGTGGGGGTGCTGGGAGAACGTACATGAGAAGGACCCAATTTGGAATGTGTTTTTTAAGCACCCTTCCCAGGTTCCATCAGCAAGAATAAAAAAATTTGGAAGGAGGTAAAAGATAAAAAGAT